CGATTAGCTCTTTTTCCATTTTGGGAGTTCTGCTTGTTAGAGAGGCCTGTCCAGTTGATCAAAGAACAGCTGAAACTTTTCTCTCTTCCTCGATTTGGATTAAGAAATCACAAAAGTTACCTTCACCACTCCTGATCCTCTCTCCATCCAGCTTGCCAGGAATCCTTAGAAGTCCTATCTTTGTCCCCACAAAGTATAATTGTTTTTTCTGGGCCTGATTTAAAGTCTTTTCCATCCATTCAGGTCTACAGTTAATGCTATACTTCTTTGGCTCTCTGCCATATTCTGTAAACTCTAGGGGAAACTGGCCTCCTGAGACTCTTGCAGATATGAGCAGCAAATAGAAAAATAAATATATATGCATACATATACATGCACACAAATATATCTCAAACACTACCATGTATCCATCACCTATTGACAATTGCGGTAGCTAAGTTTCCTCTCCCTAGTATTAATCCATTCAAAGCTACCAGCTCTAGCCTGAGTTTCTGTATCAAGCAAAACTCCAGTTCCAACTAAAGGAATTGAACTTCTGGGCTTGGGGGGAAAACCCCTAACACACCACAAAGCCAGTAGATGCAGAATGGCAGAAGGTATTATCTGCAAACACCCCCATGCCCTGAACCACCAAGATATCTCATTAGGCAATAAGAAAATGCAGAATGTTTCATATCATCAGTTTCAAAAATTACAAGAAACCAATTATCCCTCCGAGCTGTCACTAGTATATAGTGTTTCTCTAGGAAACTCCAATTTTCCATCTGGGCACAATTCAAAACAGAGGGAAAGGAAAAAAATCAATACTGAAAATGTCAGGGACTTTTCCAGCTAGTGTCTGATGGACGTCTATCTGGGCTTCTGCAGATCACGCAGCCTGTCTTCTCTGTGTGCAGACATGAGATAAGCACAATTTTTCTACCTGCTTTCTCTTGGCCTCACCCGGGGTCCTTTTCATTATTCCCCACTGAGAACATTCTGTGTTAAGTCTCACAGCATATAAAATGGGAATGTTCACTCTCAAAAGCAGAGCCACAGAGAGGGCTGTACCACTGGCAAGCTCGGAGCTGGGGGTCAGGGTGAGGAGACAGACTTGACTGCTGAATGCAGATGCCTGGGCATGGCCATCTAAGCCTCTGCATTGCAGAGCCCTGCACCCAGGAAGCCCATCTTTCACCTTCCCTGACAACCACATCCATGGTTTTGATGACTTTCCTGTCCACCCCTGGGTTCCATTCCTCATCTATCTCCAGGCCTTCCTTCTGCCCCCTTACTGGAGGAACACACTTTCTGGAGTCCCTTCTGACTTTCCCTCCTGACACAACATCTGACAGTTGAATGTGAAGGCTAAGCTTCCCTCTAACAAGGCTTCCCTCTGGGACGTGCCTCCTCATACGGAGATTTCTTCCGTAAAGTGAATGGCTTGAAACCAGCCTATTTTCAACCAGTGCCTGGCAATGGGCTTTCCAAACCTGAGTCTCTCTTGGCCCACCTGCATGACTACAGCTAGAGACAGGGCCACCTACACGATTATTCTTTGCATGCTATTTTTCTGAAATCAATCCACTTTTTTTTTTTTTTTTTTTTTTTTTTTTTTTTTTGAGATGGAGTTTCGCTCTTGTTACCCAGGCTGGAGTGCAATGGCACGATCTCGGCTCACCGCAACCTCCGCCTCCTGGGTTCAGGTAATTCTCCTACCTCAGCCTCCTGAGTAGCTGGGATTACAGGCACGCGCCGCCATGCCCAGCTAATTTCTTGTATTTTTTTTAGTAGAGACGGGGTTTCACCATGTTGACCAGGATGGTCTCGATCTCTCGACCTCGTGATCCACCCGCCTCAGCCTCCCAAAGTGCTGGGATTACAGGCTTGAGCCACCGCACCTGGCTCAATCCACTTTTTAAACATGTAACTATGTTTAAAACAGAAACCATAGCAACATCATTTCTACTAAGTGTAATAAATATATACGCATTTATATATGTGCACATACATATACATGCACGTACAAGTACACATACATGCAGAAAAATATATCTCAAACAAAACCACGTATCCATGACCTATTGGTCAGTTCAAGGGCAAATGATCAATTCAAGGCCAACCAAATAATGTGAAGAAATCTTAAGTTCAAGGACTGCTCCCTCTTCTTCAAACAAGGGAGATCAGTAAGTCCTGGAGGAGGGAAGAGGACACCATGGTGCAACTCAAGACACTCCTTAGCAGCATCCCAAGAGCAAAAGGAAAATAAAAAAGGGGAGCAGTTTCTAACCACAAGCCCTAACGTTATTTCATGTCATTGCACACATCACCTAAAATCATTTCAGTTATCGGTGGGAGTGATTTAATAAAATCACTCCCTCTCTCCCAAGAAGGTTTACTGAGCATCTATTATGTTCCTGAAACTTTGCAGGGAGTGGGGAACAAAACAGACTAAGAAAGAAAAAAAAAAAGCTGTGTGTCCACATGACACTTAAAGTATATTAAAATGACAATAACAATTGTGTCTAGATCAGAACCTTAGATAAAGAAAACTTCTATTTAAAACTGTGAAAACCAGTCCTCACTCCACACCCCTGGCAAGAGACTCCATATTCACAAAGCAGCTTCTCTGATTATGTTCCCAATAGGAAATGACAAGTGGTTATTAGTTTTTAAGCAACTGGCATGCTTTGTAAGCAGTATTAACCACCCCCGAAAACCTCAGGGCTTCCCAGATAAACAAGTCCCCACCCAAACACCCTTCCCTACCCGTCTTAGGGGTAACCCCCAGCGCCAAAAGACAAATGACATTTAAAATCTGATTGAAACCACACCAAACCATGGAGCTTTTAAATGTCAAGGAGGAAGGCAATTCAACCCAGCAGGTTTTTCCAGGACTGACTGAAAAACCACTTCTCTGTAGTTAGATTTTAAAAAAATCAATCAGTAGAGACAGCAAGAGAAGAGAGTGAGGCCAAGACTGACCTTTGTGTCAAAGGCAACTGACATGATTCACATTTGTGACTAATTATCTCTTTCTTCATCTTTATGTTTGTCTCTCCCTGAACAGGAGCCGTCTTCCAAGCAGCTGAGACATATGACCCGACTGAATTCCAGGCTTCTGGTGGGTGTTGGTTTGTTCAGATGCAGAGGAGCTGGCCATGTTTGTGTGTGTGTGTGTGTGTGTGTGTGTGTGTGTGTGTGTGTGTGTAACTGACAAGTCATTCTTTTAAAATGCATATAAAAATTTAAGCTTCCTGAATCTCATAAAGAAAAATTATAAAAGGATGCCTATACTGTTTTCAAAACCTAAAATCTCTTTAAACTGTCTTAAAGTATGCTCTATTTGGATACAGAATAATATTGCTAACCTGAAACCAAGATGTTATGCATTTGTATGCTACTTTCCATTAAAAGAGATGGATTCCACCTTAGAATAACACATAGGCACTTATATAAATTTAATAAGCACTTCTTACTGTCTTACTCTCTGCTAGTCACTGAGCACTTTTTAGAAATAACTTACTTCACAACAACCTTATGAGGTTTGGTCCTCTTACTGCTGCTTCACAGAAAAGGAAATACAGAGAGGTAAAGCAACTTGCTCAAGGTCAGACAGCTAGGAAGTGGTTATGCTGGGCATAGAATCCAGGTACTCTGCCTCTAAAGGCTGCGATCTTGACCATTACCCTCTACTGCCCCCTACACACTATGCACAGAGGGCTTTACATGTGTTATTTTACATAAAGCATATAATAACCTTATAAGGTGTATTTTTATTCCCATTTCATAGATGAAGAAACAGGCACAGAGAGGTGAAACAGCTTGCCCACTCAGCAAATGAGAATGGGGACTCTGACTTCACTAAGGTGCCACCCAGTTACTCCCTGTCACCCAGCACTTCCCAATTCCCTCTCCACCATACGCCATTGGTTAGAGTCACAAAAACAGCTTGTGTCTGTGAATTAGAAACTATTCTCTGATTGGTCCTGGAACCTTAAACTCACTAGCTTTATAACAACAATGTATAGACAGGGGAGAAGTCTGATTGTCTGGATCAGACAATGGATCCAGTTGTGGTATGATTCAGGGTCCCCTAGGGGGACCGAAACTCTTTCAAGGGATACCCATGATCAAAACTATTTTCTCAGTAATACTAAGCTATTTGTTTTTCTCTTACATTCTCCACAAGTTTACAGTGGAGTTTTCCCAAAACGATATGACATGCAATATCATTACAAATTGAAAGTGAAGCAGATAAAAGAATCTAACTGTCGCTGGGTGTGGTAGCTCACACCTTTGGGAGGCTGAGGCAGATGGATCACCTGAGGTTGGGAGTTCAAGATCAGCCTGGCTAACATGGAGAAACCCTGTCTCTACTAAAAAAAAAAAAATATATATATATATATATATACAAAATTAGCCAGGCATGGTGGCGCATGCCTGTAATCCCAGCTATTCAGGAGGCTGAGGCAGGAGAATCACTTGAACCTGGGAGGTGGAGGTTGCGGTGAGCCAAGATCACACCATTGCACTCCAGCCTGGGCAACAAGAGCAAGACTCCATTAAAAAAAAAAAAAATCCAACTATCTTCTATGAAGCCAGACAATGCAGAGATCTCCTTACTATTTTATTCTTTGAGTTCTGTTACATAAAAATGTAATTTGTGCTAGTATGTAATAGGCTTATTAATTAAATGAATGAAGATCTATTTTAAAGCTCTTCAGGTTTAATTTCTATTATGGTAAAGTTAGACATAACCCAAATAAGCAATGCATTTTACGAGTCTAAAGGGGTTCTGAGACCAAAATGCCTGAGGACAGCTGCATGGGCCTGTGATCTCCATCAGCTGCCGGGACACACGGGCCTGGTGTCCCTCTGTGAAGCACAGCACACAGCAGGGTCTTGGGATGCATCATTTTGGCTGTGGAAGGAATGTCCAGCTGTACAGCACTGGCCACCCACTTTAGGCCCATCCCCCCACATGCATGATGACAGATGCCGAGATCCACACAGCTTACCTGAAAATAGTCTGTAATGAATGATCCAAGTTCACTCTTCAACAGCCGCCTGGGGAGAAGAGAAACACCGTCAAGGAGCCCTTGATGGTACAACTCATGGTGACAATGTGCTCACCAGTGGCATGGGCCGGGGCCAGGCCTGAGAAGTGGGGGGGCACTTCCCTAGGTCCTGATCCCCCCACCCCCATTTTCATCATGGAATTGCAGTGATGGAAATCCTAGAAGGAGATCCATTCTTCAGTTCACGCTGAGAAAGTAGCACTCTAAAGAGGGCAGCCAGCCACAGGAAATCCTAATTCTAGCAAAGCTGCTAGGGGCAGGCCAGGGCACCTGGCTTTATATGAAGCAAAAAGAAGGAAAAAAAAAAGGTCATTATTTTTGCACTCCTCCATGTTTGCAGAGCAAATGTGTAAACACATTTTTCATACATTCTTCAACCAAGGATTATAAAGTGTATTTAGGGAAAGAGAGAGGAGTAATTATTATTCTTCCTGTACAGATTTAAAAGTTATGCCTCAGAGAGTTCCCCAAAACAAATCAGTGGTAGAGCCAAGATCTGACCCCAGACTTTCCACAAATTCAACATCTTTTCCCATAACTCCACCCTGTCTCATCTCTAAATCCAGAACACCCCCCAGGCCAAAAATTCAACTTGGTATCATGGTTTGGGTGGTCTTACCACCCAAGCCCAATGGACTGAGGCAGTCTTCAAAGGAGACCACAGCAGAGAGAACAGAGAGATTTTATTTATCCAGCAATGTAGGTGTACTGAGTGATTCATTATGTGCTATGTGTTGTTCTAGCACCAGGAGTACAAAGGTGAATAAGACAGACAAGGTCTCCACTCTCAGGGAATTTCTCTTCTCGGGGGCTGGTGGATAGATAGCACATTAATAAGTATACTCACAAGACGATTTCAATGATCTTAAGTGCTAATAAAATACAAATGGGGCCAGGCATGGTGGCTCACACCTGTAATCCCAGAACTTTGGGAGGTCGAGGCAGGCAGATCATGAAGTCAAAAGATCGAGACCATCCTGGCCAACATGGTGAAACCCCATCTCTACTAAAAATACAAAAATTAGCTGGACGTGGTGGCGCATGCCTGTAGTCCCAGCTACCTGGGAGGCTGAGGGAGGAGAACTGCTTGAACCTGGGAGGTAGAGGTTTCAGTGAGCTGAGATCGCACCACTGTACACCAGCCTGGTGACAGAGCATGACTCCATTTCAAAAAAATTTAAAACTACCAATGGAAGATAGGGATATTGACACCAGCTCTCCTTCTCCTTGTGACAAATAATGGAACTATCTATATTTTGATCCAGACAAGGTAAGGGAACTAAAAACAAGAATAACTGGCTCCCCAGATCCAGTAAGTTCCCTACGGAGTAAACCCTTCATGACTTCAAATGATTTTCTTTACTCATCCCGTTGGCTATGGTTATTAAGGAGCAAATGCTCAGGTTTCTGACAACCCTTGCTGAGTGTTTACTCCCCCAAAACGCGTTCACACATGTCACTGAAGGATAAACAGGACGTTACAGCAAGATGTTGTTATGTGCAGAGAAAACAGCACAATAAAATTAGACAAAAGAAGAACGAACCACCCATGATTTGAATCTCTGTGCCAGAAAAAGCTCTGGAAAGCCACAAACACACATTGAACAAAGAAAATACCTTCCTTTTCCCAGGACAGAACACATGCCTGTTGTGGATGCTGCATGCTGAGAGCCAATTAATGGCAGGCTCATGGAGGGCCACCCCATCAACACAACCCAAGGGTTTTCCCAGATGTGAGCAGGTGTGATCTGAGAGAGGGAAGCTTTCTTCAAAAGCCACTAAGCTAAGAGCAGGTTAGGCATCAGTATTCTTTGAGGCAGAAGCTCGAGGTGTTTCTCAGGAAACAGCAGCCTACAGGGCAGCCCCAAGTGGATGGAGGCTTTGAAACAGGAAGAGGTAAGGAGATTGCTTCTGACCACAGGAGGAAGAAACACCTCCCTACAAGTTTTCATGGTCCTTGGGAAGGCTCAAAACCATATGTGAAGAAGCCAAGTTTTGTGCTAAAGTGAAAAAACAAGTCCTAACGATGGGCTGCTTAGGGCAGAGCTTCCCAAGGAGATACCTTGTGTACTCATGATGCTGCGGGACGAACGTGATTCTGAGATCAAATAAAATGCTGTGGAATTGGTGTACCAAAGAACTCACAGTGGGAAAACACTCTGCTCATGAAGATGCCGTGGGTAAGACTGAAAAAGAAAGAGGTCAAGGTTAAGGGGCCTTCGAGATAAAAAAAAAAAAACAAAAAACTATGGATACCCTCATGGAGAACAGCATGGAGGAGGGATCTATGCTGTGTAATAATTGTGAGTTCGGGTGGATATGATGGAACAAGTAAGGACTGCCCCGGGGTATCTCACAGTGGGATTCAGAAAAGCATCATGATGCTACCTAGTTGAGGAATCCAAGACATCTCCTCCCCTCCTATCAGGGAGGACAGGAAGGGGCTTCACTCTACAGGGAGGGTGGAATCACAGCAGCCTTGCGTTGCAGCCAGGGTGCAGCAAGCCACAGCCAAGGCCAGAAATCTGTAGAGTGTCCGAGGAAGAGAAAGTCTGGGTAGAAATCAGCCAATAGCAGAGCAGAAGCTAAAGGGCAGACGTGCAACTTCCAAGACAAAGACTTAGCGAAAAGGACTCTGAAGCTAGAAGCAGCCAAACAGGAGAGATGAGACGGTAATGGGTAAGAATAAAGAAGTAGAATATGAAGAGGGGCCTTCCACCACACTGACAGTGACAACCAGTTCTTTACTGAGGAGGAACCAGATGCGACGTGGCAACCTGCTTTCTATACTGGACCATAGCCAGGTACAGTAGGAGAACCAGGCCATTTGTCCTTTGATCAAATCCAGAATGTAAAACCTTCTCCACAAGGTACTGTTGATAGAGTTATCTGAACAGAAAAGACCTTACTTAATCATTTAAGTCAAGATTCAATTGCTCTAGGTGGTCAGATCGATAAGCTGCACTGCCCTTATCCCTTACAAAATCCTGCCTTCTTTCTGGGCATGTTATGAGTTAGACAGTGTTACATGTCCTATCTGTGCAGAGTTTTCCACTGCAGCAAAATATAGGAATCAACATAAGTGTGTACCAGTAAAATGCTAATAAAAAGATTGCTCATCCAGGCAATGGAATTCTATGTAACTGTTAAAAAAGGGAGTGGAAGAAGTGCTCTAAATAAGGATGTGAAAGATCTAAGTCATAGTAAGCAAAGAAACAATGTGAGATACAGAACAATGTGTACATACAACAGGGTACCTTGTAAAATGAGAAGAGAAAAAGAATACACATTTTAGTTTACATAACACTAACACATTTGTTGGTCAATTCCATGCTTATAACTGGCTGTTCAAGTCTGTATTGCTATATGAATGGGTTTCTTCACAGGCCCTTAGAACCAAAATATATAGCTCCTTGATTTTTAAACACATAGAACACATACGCATTTTATTTATTTTTTATTATTATTAATTTTTTTTTTAGGTGGAATCTTGCTCTGTCACCCAGGCTGGAGTGCAATGGTGTGATCTCTGCTCACCACAACCTCCTCCTTCTGGGTTCAAACAATTCTGCCTCAGCCTCCAGAGTAGCTGGGATTACAGGCGTGCACCACCACGCCTGGCTAATTTTTTTGTATTTTTAGTAGAGACAGGGTTTCACCATGTTGGCCAAGCTGGTCTCAAACTCCTGATCTCATGATCCACTGGTGCCAGCCTCCCAAAGTACTGGGATTACAGGCATGAACCATGCCCAGTCTTATTGTTGTAATTAATTAACTGTTTTTTATTGAAACAGAGTCTCATTCTGTTGCCCAGGCTGGAGTTCAGTAGTACGATCTCAGCTCACTGCAACCTCCACCTCATGGGCTCAAACGATTCTTGTGCCTCAGCCTCCTGAGTAGCTAGGACTGCAGGCACCCATCACTGCTCTCAGCTAATTTTTGTATTTTTGATAGAGACAGGGTTTCACCATGTTGGCCAGACTGGTCTCAAACTCCTGACCTCAAGTGATACGCCCACCTTGGCCAAAGGGCTGGGATTACAGGCATGAGCCACCGCACCAGCCCGCATATGCATTTTTAAAAATCATATGTGAAAAAGCACTGGGGTTTTGTGTCCTCTTCTACATGTCTACACATAAAGCCTTGGAGGAGCTTGAAGCTGTTGCTGGAAATTATGTAAGGCAATGATACACTTTAGCTGACTTGATTCCCTGAAGTCTGAGGAAGACGCTGTCCTGCAGACACCATACCACATCACCAGACCCCAGTCCAGTCCCAGACCTTGTATAAAGGATCCAGTATCATCAGCTATGTTTCCATACATAATCCTTATATATGCATAAAGAAACTCTGCAAGAATACCCAATAAGCTACTGTTACTAATATTTATCTTTGAGGAAGAGAGAACGGAAAACTGGTTTCTAGGATACAGGGGTGGGAGATTGTACTGTATACCCTTGCTATATGTGTAAAATTTTGGAACTATGTCAATACAATCCTATTCAGAAACAAATTTTTAAGATTATGAAGTTAATAACCACCACCAAGGTTACCGCAGGATGGCCAGAAGCCTGAGAAAGAATCGTGGGAGGAAGTCCCTATCAAGGGCTCAACATCAGGAACTGGGGTGGATAGCAGCTAACAGAGAATCCTACAAGTCCTGGGAACCCACCAATCCAGACCTGCCTCAAACTGGTAACCCAAGAACCCTTGTTCCCAGGAATACAGAGAGTGAAGAAATTAGAAAGGGGAGTGGGGGCCCAAGAGTCCACAGCAGTGCTGGCAACACCAGCCTGTGAGCAGACTGTGGCTGAGTCATGTTGCAAATCTACAACAATCCATGCCTATACTCTGTTTATTCTGCTTGCATTGGTTTACAAAGAAAGAATGCTTCTGAAAAAAAAAATCTCTATTCTTGTCTTAGCTAAATTGAGAGAAAGGGATTTTCTACACCTCTGTCCCAATACACCCTTTCCAGTGGAACTTGGC